GCCAAATTTTCGCTTCGTCCTCAGCAGGTAGAGCGGACTAAACCGAGTCGAAAGTCTTTTACTATTTTGCAATGCTCGCAATAATAACGAGATTAACATTTAAAGATAGCCGAATATGCACGTCCGCCCGATCTACTATTCCCGAAGATACGGCCCACCGATTGCGCATGGGGTAAGCGTCCCGCGAATCTTAAAGCTCGAACGGCGCGATACCGTAAAATCTTCTTATTTTGTAATCTGTTAATACTTTTTGACGTTTGAATTCTTTATATATATACTTCACCACTGAGATTATTTAAATTTTCATTGTATTTGATTTGTTAATTTAATATTGTATTTCTGCATTTTAACTGAAGAAGGCTTTGTAAGCCGAAACATTTAGAATATTATTTAGTAGAATATTCTTATGTTAATTATATTAATTTAAAGTTATTCTAATTATAAGCTTGAAATAAGTCACGACATTGTTTAATTTTTTAAAAAATATACAAGCATTATTACGCTAATATAACAAAATTGAAATTATAACTTGAGAGTGAAATCAGACTTTTTGCTCATATATTATTCGCTGTCCTACTGCATATATATCTGTTCCATTTTCTCTGTTTCTTTTGACAATTTTTCAATTGTGCCAAGAAAATGCTAGTGTTACATTTATCTATTTATTCTCTTACATTTTATTACAGAAAATCTCTTATCAGAGATGATACATAAAAAAGCAGCTCCATTTAAACAAGTGATACAGAAAAATTCTTAAATGTCTGTCTTCTTATATTAGATTCCTCAATGATAGTTGAAGAGGGGATGATCAGTCTTTGCTTCTTGTTGATATGTTATCAAACCGTTGTAAGCATCGTATTGCTCTCGTCATAGTTTTATATATTTAACGGAGAAATTGATGGATGTACGATAATTGTTTAAATTATATGGGTATGTTGCAGACAATTATTTTCAATCTTTCAACTCACATAATAACTATATTAATTTTATTTTTGATAAAAATTGAAAAATCATCTTAAACAATTATTCAAATTTGTAACAATGGTTTCATGTTAATGATATATTTGTTTAACTTAATAACAAATTTGACGACTTATCATAAGATAGACAAAGATTTTTAATTTGATATTGTAGAAATGATAACTTCTTCAAATATTGACCACGATTATTGTAAGAGAATAAATAGATAAATGTATAATACTAGCATTTTCTTGGCACAATTGTCAAAAGAAGTGGAATGGCAGATGGAAAATGGAACAGATATGTATGCAACAGGGCGGCGAGTAATATATGAATGAAAATTTAACCGATTTCTCTCTCAAGTTATAATTTCAACTATATGTTATATTATTTTATATTTTCTATTCTTCTAATTATCGTAATTGTAGATGCGTTTGAAAGTTTGAAGACGATTATAATGATAAGAGATTGATAAAGGAAATAACGACGAATTATTATATAAACATTGTATTTGAACAATATTAAAGATGACCTAATAATAGTCGAAACGTCTACAATTACAGTTTATTATAAATAAACAATTTTATAATATTCGCAACAAGAATTAGAGTTAGAGTTTAGTTGACATGCAACTAAAAAAAAGAGACAATCCTGACATCTTGTTAAAAACGGAATGTCTGGTCACTTTAGTATACAGAGAAACGTATTATATGGCCGCGTGTACAAACACATATATATTTCTTTAGAATGACCGTACATATAAAAGTACGAGAATGCTTTTTTCTATATTTTATTGATTTACTCAAAAAAGCCATTACTCGATCGTATTAATAATATTATATTCTTTAGAACGACCGTATATGACATCCGGATATTACATCAAATACGACAGAGAACACCATCATTTCGGTCAGATGGTTCGAATGATGCAATTAAATAAATTTATTTCAAATATGATTGCGCCGATAATTTTCAGATTTTCAACATAATCAGGGGGATTAGTAACGTTTCAGACCAATTGTGTTGAAAGTCCGAAAGTTATTGGTATGTAATCATATCTGAAATAAATTTATTTCTTAAATTTATTTATTAATTGTATTATTCGAAATATCTAACTTTGTAATAAATAAAAATGATAGCGTTCTCTGTCGTACTTTTATATGTATGGTCATTCTAAAGAAATATATATGTGTTTGTATACACGCGGCCATATAATGCGTTTCTCTGTATACCAGAATTCCGTTTTTAACAGGATGTCAGGATTGTCTCTTTTTTTTAATTGCATCCCGTTATCCCAACAACTTTCTAACGGGACGCATATATGTCCAATTGATGTGTAAACGAAATGTCTAAAAAAATACGAATTTCGCGTCTTCTGTCTCTGATTGATTATGTTTTAGAACTGTTTGGTTTAGAGAGTCTATTAGGAAGAACATTTCACAATTCGATTTTTAAAAAAATGTTAGGCTTCTTAAGCAAATATCATCATCAGACAAATACGATGCTATGCAAAATGTTCCACAACGATACAAAATGATACAAAATATTGAAGGATCTGGAAATCTATTGCAACTATCGTGCTCTCATCACGATATTTATTGTTAGCGTATTATTGATTATAACATTACTTAAACGAAATATATATTTTTTACTGGTTACTTGTCTAATATAGTTTATTATTGTATAATAATAATTTATATCAATATTAGTTATTATATCATAATAAATGGAACTATTTGTTTCGCTGCAAAAAAACCCTTAGAAAATCCTTTGACTCTTACTGAACCCAACTCCTATATCAAAATTCAATTAATCGATAAGCATTTTTACAATTCTCTAGCTCACTTTGTTTGCGTCCCGTTTTTTCATTTTGAAAATCTCCCTACTGTATACATATCATATTATTGTGAAGAATATATCTTAAGAGTAGTCGAGTTGGCTAAAACTTGCCCTAGAAAATCGAAAAGTCCCAGGTTCGAATTCTGGCTGAGGTAATATTTTTCGTAATAATTTCTTTATAATTTATATAAATTTAATTTAGGGGGAATTTAAGGGGATTAGTAACGTTTCAAACT